GCTGCCTGCCGGGAGCTGTAGTCCCGTCCGCGCCGGCGGGCTAGGGGCGACGGAGGAGGTGGGGCCCACGGGCCCTCCCTGGGCATTCTCACGGCTGTTGGAGCCTCAGCGCGCCTTAATTGCTCTCGGTCCCTGTCAGGGGACGCCAGCGGCCGTGACTTACGGGCAGGCGCTTCCAGTGATACCGGTGAAATCCCCAGTGACCCCCAGGCTGGGGCTGCGTGGGAGCCGAGGCGGCTCCAAACCCATCTCCCACCGCCAGCACGAGTGGTGCTGAGGCGGAAAATGTGCGGCGTGAGGGGAGGCAGGCGCCGAAAGTACATTCCGACTCTGTGGTGCGGGGAGACGTGGCTACCGCGGAGCCAAGGGGGCCGGTGCAGCTTCCCCTACTGCTGCCTGCGTTAGAGGCCTTCAAACACTGGGCACGTCGGAGACTGAGGAACGGGAAAATACTTTTTCCATGGGCTTTGGGGTTGTTTTTTGGTAGCATATCATTACGTCTGATAGTTATTGCTGTAGAGCAATGCCTCTGAGTGCTCGTCACAAGAACGAAATTCAGGTACTGTGTTGCAGCTCCTCAGAGAGTGACAGAAGTCTTGTGGGCAAGTCTCCCGGCAGAGAAGGGAGGGGAGGAACAGCCTTTGGAAAGCAGTATCACCTGGCAGACATCTCATCAGGCATAATGCTAAGTGAGGTGATCGGGTGTTCCTGTTCGCACCCAAAGGTCAGCTGGGTCAAAGATACCTCCGGGCTATTTTTAAGCAAATGGTCTATGGAAGAATCCTTTTACAGTGATTTGGCTTCTATGGCCATGATATTTTGAGCTGATCCCTAGTGCCCTAAAAACAAGCTCATGATAGCTACTTAACTGTAGCCAAGGAAAGTGATAGCAGTTTTTACACGAGATAAGAGTCTCTTCTAAATTATATCACATCTGTGCCTTTACATGATGTTTTGAGTGATGGAAATGGTTCTGAATATAATACCACAGCAGTATTTTTGGAATGAAAGTAAAATATCACCCTTGTAAAGTGAAGACAAATACCTGATTCTCAAATTCTAATGCCTAGCATATCACGATTTATACTTAGCAAGTTTACCTATGATAATTTTTTTTTTTTAAAGTCAGAGTTCTGAGCATGATTTGTACACTATGCAGCCGCAGAGTCCCCCAGTATTTAAACCCAGACCACATGGCACAGACGGTTTTCCCGTTTACCACAAGATGGCATTGCATCGGATAAAATTTTGTTCACTGTCTTGGACAGCTCATACTTTCACCTGGAATTACAGATAAAATTAACTTTACAATCAGTTCTTTGAAGACATTCACATCCATTATTTAGGTTCAGATTTAGGCATAAATGTGTGCTTTTGAGCTGCGAGGTCCACTGTTTTGCCAGTCTGGTCAATACATTTACACTGATGCCTGTACCCTCTGTTTTATCCTTATGCAGCTAACTTTTGGAGTTCTTTTGGACTGTATCTCTATAAAGCCCAGAAGCCTCCAGGTAAATTTCTGGGACTGAGAGGACTTAAGTGGTAATACCTATTGCACTTCCAAAGTTGCTTTAAGCATTAGTGATTACTGTGTATCACTGGAATAGCAGGAGTGCATGCCAGGAATTGTTCTTCTTGTTTTACTTGATAGCATGAACCTGCTGAGGAAGGGAAAGAAGAATCTCAGAAGGTAAAAATTACTTTCTGGCAACTACTGTGTAGAACTCAATTCCAAACTTTTTATGTATTCCAAAAATTGTCGTTTACTCTATGAGTGGTCCCAGTGCAGTAAACTGGATGGTTCTTTTACTCAATGGCCTCAGTGTTACTTTGCAATAATAGTCTAATAGGGGCACCTTTATGATTATAAATTAGTGACAGGAAATTCTGTACTTGGTCTCAGCTGGAGTTCAAAGGTGAATTTCTTTAATGGCCTTTCTTTTTTTTTTTTTCCTTTTACTGTTCTTTGTTGTGTGTTTCATTGCTGGAGGGAATGAACTAATCCTGTGTATTTAGTCTCTACAAATATGATTTAACAGTAACAATTATAACCAATGGAGAAAATCTGTAAATGCTTTCGCATTGGTGTTTGGTTGGGTGTTTGTTTTTTTTTTTTTTTTTTTTT